GATGGGGCCAGCCTGGTCGCGGCGGCGGGGAGAACTGGGGGGCCGCTCCCGCACAGGCCCGCCTCAGAGACCTGGGACTTGGGCGATCTTTGGTGCGGGGGGGGAGGCAGGCGGGGGGCAGGGGGTGGGGCGGGGGCGGAAGGGGGGTGGGGGATGGTGGAGAGCAGGCCCGCCTCAGAGTAGGTAGGCCCGCCTCAGAGTCCGCCTCAGAGCTCACGGACTTAGCCATTTTTCACTGCCGCAGTGCGGCGGCTCCCGCGGCGGCGGCGGCGGCGGCAACTCCGTTAAAGGCTGCGGCGGCGGCGGCTGCGGTGGCGGCGAGTCCGATCAGTCAGGTAGAGGCTGCGGCGGCGGCGGTGGCGGCGGCGGCGAGTCAGTCAGGTAGAGGCTGCGGCGGCTGCGGCGGCAACTCAGAAGGCCCTGCGGCTCCCGCGGCAGCCCGCCTCAGAGTCCTCCCAGTCAGTGAAATGTGTGGTTCTGTACGGTACGTGCGCTTCCCCGGTGGTCCCCCACCCGAGTACTAGACACGCCCATGGTTGCTTAGCTTCGGAGATCGGACGGGATCCGGCGTTTCCAACCAGGTATGACCGTACAGGCCGTCCCTCGCGGGGGTCGAACCCGCGCCTTGCGGCCGCGCCTCTCGATGGATCGCGGCAGGGACTGGTGTGTTTGTTTGTTTGTTTGGAAAGGGCCCCGTCCGCGGCGCCCCGGTCAGTTGTTAGCACTAACCACGCCGCGCGGCCACAGATCCTACAACCAAGGCTTAATCTCAGCAGATCGTAGCAACAAGGCTACTCTACTGCTTACAATACCCCGTTGCTTGTTAAGTCGTCTGCAAAGGATCTCCTGCGCCCAACTCTCGAAATTGATCTCCGTGGACCGGGCGCGCGGTCTCACCGCGCGACCCGTCGCCACTCTTACGGTACAGGCCTAGGCTATCGGTACTCATGTCATCGGGCAGCCGTCATCGTTTCTGGCATGGATTCTGACTTAGAGGCGTTCAGTCATAATCCTGCAGATGGTAGCTTCTCGCCACTAGCTTCTCAGCTAAGCGAAAATACCAAGTATCTGAATCAACGGTTCCTCTCGTACTAAGTTGAATTACCATTACGACAACCTCTCATCAGTAGGGTAAAACTAACCTGTCTCACGACGGTCTAAACCCAGCTCACGTTCCCTATTAGTGGGTGAACAATCCAACACTTGGCGAATTCTGCTTCGCAATGATAGGAAGAGCCGACATCGAAGGATCAAAAAGCAACGTCGCTATGAACGCTTGGCTGCCACAAGCCAGTTATCCCTGTGGTAACTTTTCTGACACCTCTAGGCTGAAACTCCCAGCATCTAAAGGATCGATAGGCCATGCTTTCACAGTTTGTATTCATACTGAAAATCAAAATCAAGTGAGCTTTTACCCTTTTGTTCTACATGAGATTTCTGTTCTCATTGAGCTCACCGGAAACAGGGAGAGAGAAATACAAAGACTGAATGATTAGAGGTAGAACAATTGGAGCCGCGGAAGAGAGAGGAAGGAGGGAGAGCATCTAGAGAGGGAGGGAGGATAGAGGGAGGTTAAAGAGGGTAGAGCAAAGAGGGAGGTAGACGAGAGGAGAGGTTGACATTCAGAGCACTGGGCAGAAATCACATTGGGAGGATAGAGGGTGGTTAAAGAGGGTAGAGCAAAGAGGGAGGTAGACAAGAGAAGAGGATTGAGGGACAAAGGGAGAGACAGACAGACAGACAGACAGACAGACAGACAGACAGACAGACAGACAGACAGACAGACAGACAGACAGAGAGTGAGGAGGGAGGGAGGATAGAGGGAGTTTAAAGAGGGTAGAGACAGAGACAGAGGCCTCGATCCTGCTAGATTGTGTCGCATGTCATGGCATAGCGTGTCGGCACTGTGACAGACCACGCGGGAACATCATAGCGACAGGAAACTGCTGTCGACGTCCGGGGTGGGTCGAGGAGGGAATGGAAATCCGTCGTTCATAGAAGTCGATCTGCATCTTTAACGCCGCGTGTGCATCAAGGATGAGGAACTCCTCCTGAGCCCTGACGTCAGTGCCTGTGATCCGGAAGTCAAGGTGACATGCGTCCCGAATTATAACCGATCTGTCGTCTTTGGCGGACTGTACCTTCACCGGGGTGGCGATCTTGTGCGTAGATAACCGGAGTTCGTCTACAATCGCACGCGAGAGAATGGATGCCTGCGCCCCCGTGTCCAGTAGCGCCAGGATTTCTCTGGGTTCCTCTGCTCGGTCCGACTCAATTTGAATGGGCAGGTAGAGCAGGTTGGAGTCGATGTCTGCCGCCTGAGTCAGCGTCGAGGCGGTCTGAACTGTCAGCGTATTCATTTGCAAAAATTTGCTCTGGAGAAGGGCAGCGTGGGCAGGGAGAGGCAGAGACAAAGGGAGGGAGGGAGAAAGTGAGAGATAAATAGGAAGAGAGCGACGAACTTCGGAATAAGAGAGCAAATCGCGTGCTGTGAAGCAGA